TTGAAATAGGAAGCCTACAAGTACTTTATGATCTTTTGGAATGTTTCAATGCTCATATCGTCTTAAAAAACGCAAAATGCGGCTTATTGATAGTTTCGGTTATAAGCTATGGTTTTAGAACAGTCTTTATAACTAACGAATCTTGTAAGTCCGCGAAATTTTCATTTTATGTCAAATTCCATCCAATCCTTATTTTGGTTTGCATATTAACCACGGGCTTTCTTTACATTGAAACAGACACTATAGTACGTGAGTGTAATATGTTCATCCATTTAATATGATCATATTTGCATAGATGGCTCTGTGATACGACAGCTCTTCATCAGTCAATCAAATAATAAAAGGTCAAAAAGGCGCTGCTTTATCGACGCCATTTTGACAGTTAGCATTATTGTAAATATTTTAGTCAATTTTTGTATTGTGTAGGGTAGTTAATTTTTTTAAGTCGATTTTTGAAGTGTTCCCAATTGTTGCCAAAGCTTGTTTGCTATTATTTTCTTAATATATTTTGTTATAGTATACGACTTTTTTTATGTTTTTGTTTCTGTCCTTCTCCTAGTTTATAAAGCTTAAGGCATATATATATATATATATATATATATATATATATATATATACTTCTATATATATAACTCCCTACTACTATAACACCTCATTCTATACACCGGAACCACAATGGGCGCATCCATTTTGACAGCAATGAGACCTACTTATAATCTTATTTACGACATTGTATGCATGAATGTCATACAAATCTAAGGAATTCCAATATAAAAAAGTTATTTATATAAACAATAGTTCTTTATTCTCAAATAATACTGCATTTATTTGTAAAGAACAATTGACAGTAATATTAGAGTTGGCAGGTTTTTATTTGTTAATTATTTATTAGCTTGCAAACAACACCGGAAACAGTGAACAGGTTAGAGTAAACTCCGCTACTAGGTATTTAAAATTACTCATCGCATTAGTCAGTGTACGATGATGTTGCGGTCAAACCACAGTGCCTTGTGGCACACGTGAGTAATGCCCTCAAGCTATCAGATAAGGGCATATTTGCTCTACTGTTTTGCAACATGTAATACAGTGCGTCATTAGAATTAGAACGGTGTTACCAACTCGAATTTTTCCAAATCCGTAGATTGGTATAAACATTTTCGTAGAATTCCGTAGATGCTATTCCAAAATATCCGTAGATCTGCAGACTTCTTAAGAGGACTGAAAATATTTGTTTTTGTCATGGAATAGATCGATTTTTTTGGGGAAATTCTTTCTGTCATGTGAAATTCTTGTTGTAAGTTCAATTGTAGTATAAGCATAACATGGAATCAAGCTGCACGTATAAGAAAAATATCTTAAAAAAATTAATTAAAAATTAATTGTTTTCTTTTAAATAAATTATTTTTGGGAAGTAAAAAGATTAACACTTAAATATTTGTGAATAGTTGTACTAAAAAAATTCGTTGACGTAGTTTTCCGTAAACGTAGACGATAAAATAATTCCCTTTAGATCTACGGAAAAAAAGAGTTAGCAACGCTGAATTAGAACGATTTTATAATTTGATAAAAAAATAAATAAAATGTAAAAACCGAAATCTAAAATGAATAAAATTAATTCTACATCGTGTCATAGTCCACATATAGTCTACATAGTCTCTGAATTCGGTGAGAATGAGATATATGTAGTAGGTAATCGATAGAAAAATTTCAGTTTTCAGTACCGACTTCAGAAGCTTTTATGTGGAAATTATTATATTCTTTTTGATGTCGGGATTTTTTCTTTTATTAAAAGTTTTACTTTTTAACCTTTTAGTGGACTGATGTATATCGTAAGCTCATCCATCTCACATATAAAAGACTAACTTGAAGTATAATCTAATACTAATTAATAAATAATTATAACTTTGAACAGAAAGTAAAAACCAACTTCAAATTGCTAAAAAAGAAGTTATTTATTTGCAACCCTTAGGGATGAAATTTTTCTCCAAATTTATATGGTACCATCCTTCAAGTACAACCTATTTAAGAAAAAAAGAATCCTCAAAATTTGTTCAAAATCTGCGAATATATGTATCGCGTAACATACATTATAAAGAAAATATTTACTCGAATTGAAAACCTCCTCGTTTTTGAAGTCGGTTAAAAAGGTATATTCTATTTCTTCAAAAATTTACAATCTAATTAAGAGCCTTTTTTGAAGTAATCTAACAATAATAAACTATAAAATATGGCATAATAGGATGAAACTTGCATTTTTATATTTTCCTCCTTTTGTGATGAATTTACAATTCAATATTTGATCAATTTTACTAAACATTTAACTAACTGAGCAATCGAAATCTTCAACATTAAAAACCTTTGATGGATTATAATATTTTGCATAGTTCTTAAATAAAATGAGATGAGTACATTTCATTGTACGCATTTTAAATTCCGATATTGATGCATTTTTAATAGGAATTGTTCAAAAAGTATAATCTTTAGCTTTAACGCAAATCATTCAAAATAAATCGATAAATTCTTATCCATTGATTGTAATGAACTTACAATCCACACCTTGTGGAACATAAACGTTTCGTACGTATTAGTGAAATAAGGCGCGACCTTATCTCTACCGATAGGTAACGAGGCCGCAAGGGCCTTTACAGCGTAGCTGAACGAAAATAAGCAAATTAGGTCATTTATCTACTGTATGTGATAGTTTGTCCTGACTTCACTAATTATAGAAGAATTTCCAAAATAAAAATAAATTATTAATAAGATTTTTATTTACAGATAATACAATTTATTTAATAAAAAAATGAGATAAAATGAGGGCCCATCAACACAAACTCACACAAATCCATCCTGAACAAACATGGCCTTCCCCATACATTGTCTCACAGCGTGAGATATTTGCCATATATGTTACGATTGTCAAGCATACGTGAACATATTCCTGATACTTTCTGCTGCCGTTCTACTATATTCATTTCCCTACTTTAACGACATCCTTGGTATAGTATTAGGTACTTGTAGTCCTATAGAATGTCATTATTGTAAAAAAAATTTAATTAGGACTTTTGTAAGAACTCAAATTCATTTTTCTAGTCTACTATCATCAATAATCTATCTACTACTATTAATAAATGATGCACCTCTGACTATGTCTTTAGTATTAATGAAATAATAGTTATTCTGTTGTCGGTACATAATATTTTTAACAATGTAGGAATAATGTTACTGAATTGTTCACTGGAATGACGTAATATTTTATGATCTAACTAGCTGTTCGCGACTTCGCCCGCGTGTAATTTAGGGTTTGATTTTTTTTTTGAGCGGAACCTTAATTATTTTTCTAAAATAAAAGTAGCCTAAGCTACTCCTTATAATATCCGATATCTGCCAATGCAAGTTCCGTCATTGGCCGTAACAAACCGACAGACAAAAATTTTAAAAATTGTGTTTTTTTTTTTTACAAGTACCATATATACTTTCATGTGCATTTAGTAAAACGCTGTTATTTTGACATTACAAATAGACACTTCAATTTTATTTATTTGTATAGATATAGATAATCCGAAAATATACTACTTTTTATGATTTACTAAAGTTTCAACCAACTTTGAAAAAGGCGAGGGTTTAAAATTCGTCGCAATATTTTTCATGTATGTTATTTTTTGTGTATGTATGTGTGTCAATGATAATTCTTGCCTAGCCGTTTGATTTCAATGATTCTTTCTCCTTTTGGAGAAAGGGTATTATCTCAGGGGTGGTCGCATATAAATTTGATCAAGATTTAATGATAATCCATAAGAAAATCATAAACTTCTTCTATTTGCAAAGGAACCTGTACGACATACGGGCTAATAATTCTTTACCATGTAACCAATGTCGATGATCATATTTTATTTAGTTCTATGAAGTCCAGTTTTTAATTTTTTTAAGTTTAATCTTGTTGTGATTCATACTGTAAAATATTGCTTTATATATGCTACTGTTTATTTTTTATTCATTATTACCAATACCGGGTGAACAATGGCTGCAATTTTAGAACTATTATCGTTTTGTTCTTTAAAAGACAGGACCAAACCTTATTATATAAAAAGGAATGGTGTAAGAAATAATTATATATTTGTAAAGCTTAAAATTTTAAAATTTCAAAAACAATTGGAAATCTTATTCTACAGACCCGGTCCATTGTATGTTACAGAACAAGCTTGGCAAATAGATTGGCAATTACTAGACGTTTGGCACGTTTTGCACGTTTGGCACGTTTGATGCTGTTTTTCGTTTCTCTCGTCGCAGGTCTCGTTTTAAAGACAGATATATGCGAGACAGTGGCCATGAGATCTTTGGGGAATTATCATAGTCACCTCTTACGGCACCCGCGGGATGAAACGTGATGGTTAAGCCATTCATTCGACGCTGATTGATGCTGCTCCTTGTCGCCAGTTTGGTAATTTTGTACCTGACAATTTTTGTGGTAGTATTTCAAACATTTGATGGCAAATTTTTGGGTTTTTTCGAACTGTATATAAACATTAATATTGCATTCAAATAACCAAATATAGGCTATTTATAATTATTATTTCGTATAGAAAGTGTAGTGAACCGGATACCTACTTTACTTTAAACAAGGCATTTCTTCTTAGTCCTCAGGGGTGACAACGCATCTGCATTTTGATTCTTGATTGAGGATAAATGTAGATGTCTATAAGCCACAGCATCCACTTACCATCAAGTGGATTGTATGCTCGTTTGTCACCATTATTCAATTAAAATGACTTGATGTTTCTTTACACTATTATTATTACAAAAGCGTGTGTTTGTGTACGCTTAATATATAAATTCACAACTGTTAAACTTATTGATTATATATTTTTTTTACTCCAAATCAAATGCATAACAAAATCTGAACAAGAAGTAACTCAAAAGGCTTATACTATGAAATTACCATTTGGAGTGCTTAATGTGAAAACACTATCGATCTAAAATGATAAGGAGTAAATTTTACTTACGATCTTGAACACTTTCACCACAATCGTGGCTATCGTCTGTACGGAGACCATTATCACTGTTTTATCACCAGTTTAAAAACAATAACTGCAATTCACTATTTCTATATTCTAGTTTGAATTATTGCACTTCGTTTCTTTTGTCCGTGTCCGTTATTATTTAAAGGTAACTAGTTACTGGATGATTTCACTTATCAGTTCCTATAGTTTTTATCAGTTCGTGCGAGTTTCTAATCTTATCTGTTTCAGCGAATTACTAGGACAGGTCGCATGTTGTTGTTTCGGTTCATTTTTTATACAATTGAATGTACTGTGCGATGCGTGAAAAAAAAATTCCAAGAGAGAATATTAAATCCCGTGAATCCAAGTTTAGAGAGGCAACTCAGTTTATAGAGATCCGTATTTAACAACTGACCTTTTTACTGGTTTAATGTCTGATCATTTCGTATCACTACATTATCACTCTAGCCAATCACCACTGTCCAAGTCCACAGCTGAGCATAGAGCTCTCACTCATCTTTGGAAAGTTTGCCATGGCTGCCTCGCTTGACAGTTCTGTGATATTCTCAGGAATATGCTGATGCCGATTTCCTGGCTCAGTTTCCCTCTGTCGCCTCTTACGACACCCGCGGGACGATAGTAGCGGATTCTCTTGCGTTAACAATATTATTTGATATAATGTAATACATTACTTAATCGCATTGTATCAGAGGGTAATGCTTGCTTTCTTGTTTATAAAAATCTTAGGATGATGGTTTATGAGTCATAACCAACTTTATATTAAAGTTACTTTGTTAATAGGAAGAGATCTTAACGAGCCTGCTCAAAAAATCGTAGATACGGCTACTGCTGAAGTACATACATGTGGAACATGAATGCTATTGACTCTCGGGCAGGATATTTACCAAGGGATGTTGCTGCATTTCAAACAATGCGTCACATTCTTTTCTCGATAACTTTGCGTAAAGTTAACTTGAGAAACATGTTAAGTCGAATGAGATTGACGATAAAGTAAAAATTATCGTTTTAGATATTGCGCTTAGTTTATTTATTTTTGTTTATTCCTGCATAAATTTTTATTGGATAGGGTAACAAACTAGTACACAGTCCAACTGATGGCATGTGGTTGCTATGGCTCATACTTAGATATCTACATCTATCCTCGATTACGAATCAAAATGCAGATGCGTTGTCACCCGTGAGGACTAAGATGGAATGTCTCGTTTCCAATAAAAATAGTCTCTGGTTCTCTACCACACGAACACAGCAGCATTAAGCTACTATTTTACGCTGGTTTTCTGTGAGAGCCTGATCGTTCTCCGGTCGAGCCGACCCATTCGTGCTAAAACTATACTACTAATATAACTGCAACATGGCTTTACATAAAATCAAGTTTATTAACTAAACAGAATACGATTTTGAAATTTTTAAAATAAATTATTGCATATCGAATATTATTTTGCAAATTACGTCAAATAAGACTAATAAATTTCAGGAGCTTGGCTTGGACATCACCGATGAGCAGATCGCAGAGCTCGAGTCTGCTGTCCACGACATCGACTTTGCATCCGCAGCGGAGCATGAGAAGAAAGTGCGTCATGACGTCATGGCTCACGTCCACACGCTCGCAGCGAGATGTCCTCTAGCCGCTCCCATTATACACCTTGGTGCTACATCGTGCTATGTGGGCGACAACACCGATCTTATAGTGTTAAGAAATGGACTGGATTTACTGCTACCTAGACTGGCTGCTGTAATAAGTCGCCTTGCAAGATTCGCTGATGAGTACAAGTGAGTAATTCAATGTTTGAATCCTCAAACATTGAATGAACGCTACTATATCCATAGTAGCGTTTGGACTTTAACTTGATATTATGTTAGTCGTATCATATCAACCTTTTGAAACTGAATTTGTTTCGAACTTTTGACAACGAATCTGGCCTACGTGTCGTTGTCTGAAAGTGTAAGGGATATTAAAGTTGTATTTACTTTCCATCTCCACGCGTATGGATAAAGTTGTATTTACTTTCCATCTCCACGCGTATGGATAAAGTTGTATTTACTTTCCATCTCCACGCGTATGGATAAAGTTGTATTTACTTTCCATCTCCACGCGTATGGATAAAGTTGTATTTACTTTCCATCTCCACGCGTATGGATAAAGTTGTATTTACTTTCCATCTCCACGCGTATGGATAAAGTTGTATTTACTTTCCATCTCCACGCATATGGATAAAGTTGTATTTACTTTCCATCTCCACGCGTATGGATAAAGTTGTATTTACTTTCCATCTCCACGCGTATGGATAAAGTTGTATTTACTTTCCATCTCCACGCGTATGGATAAAGTTGTATTTACTTTCCATCTCCACGCATATGGATAAAGGAGTATTGGATATTTGCCGCCACTATACAGCAAGATTATTTTATATTAGACTGTTATTCTTCTTCTAGATTTATAACAATTATGGTCACTCGCCTTTAACTTAATTATACGCAACCAATTCGATACTCATCATCGAAATATCAATATAAATTTTAAATATGTAAAACTGTTTAACTACGGATTGCCTTGTGGTGGGAGGAGGGGTATGTTTGCCATCGTTGCCACGCTGTGCATACGAGTAAGCAACTGCTGTTTTTTTATTCTCTCTCGTCCCTTACGACATCTATGGGATGATATGGGGAATTTGATTATCTTGCTGCCACTATACGGAACATCTATGAGAGAGGCTACATTCAGCAGTGGACGTTTTAATAGCCCGTTACGACGAATGAATTGATTAACCATGGCCTCTTGGTTCAGAAATGCAATTGAAATCTGCATTTTCCACATCGCTCTAAATTTTATGTTCAACATTTCTAGAAACTGTCGAAAATGCTTCAATGTTTCTTCGAGCTATATTACTGGCCGCCATTGCCTCTTCAACTAATGTTTATACACACCATTTTCGTATCGTAAATAAACGTTACTGTGGTAGGTTTGTAAGTATCGCCATTATCCTTTAATAAAGACAATTACTATGTTTGTTTTAAAATATATTGTTTTTAATTTCAGATCACTGCCCATTCTTGGCTTCACCCATCTACAGCCAGCGCAGTTAACTACCGTTGGTAAGCGGGCCTCGCTTTGGCTAAATGATCTACTTATGGATGAACGTGCTTTGTCTCGTGCGAGGGACGACTTGCGTTTTAGAGGTGTCAAAGGTACAACAGGTACTCAAGCTTCTTTCCTCCAGCTGTTTAATGGAGACTCTGCAAAAGTGCGAGCGTTAGATAAGCGTGTTGCGGAACTCGCTGGATTCGATAAACGCTACATTGTAACTGGACAAACCTATTCAAGGAAAGTGGATTTAGAAGTGATTTCTGCTCTGTCCGGTCTGGGGGCGACGGTACACAAGATGTGCTCTGATATACGCATTCTGGCTTCAAGAAAGGAATTAGAAGAGCCATTTGAATCGTCACAGATTGGGTCTAGCGCTATGCCCTATAAAAGAAATCCGATGAGATCAGAGCGTTGCTGCGCCCTCGCCCGTCACTTGATAACTCTTCACGCTAATGCTGCTAACACCCACGCAGTACAATGGCTTGAGCGTACACTCGATGATTCTGCCAACAGACGTATCACACTTGCTGAAGCGTTTCTTACTGCTGACGCTACCCTAATAACACTTCTCAACATTTGTCAAGGCTTGGTAGTTTATCCTAAAGTTATTGCTCGGAATATTGCACAAGAACTTCCGTTTATGGCAACTGAAAATATTATTATGGCAATGGTGCAAGCGGGAGGTGATCGCCAAGTTTGTCATGAAAAAATAAGGGTGTTGTCTCATGAAGCTGGAGCACAAGTGAAACAGCATGGTAAAGACAATGATTTAATCGATCGTGTAAAGAAAGATCCATATTTTAAACCAATTATTTCTCAACTTGACAATATTCTGGACGCTTCTACGTTTATTGGGAGAGCGCCCGAGCAAGTAACTGAGTTTATTGAAGAGGAAATCGATCCTTTGCTAACTAAATATAAAGATGTTTTGGCAGATCTAGAAAAACAAGTTGCTTTAAACATTTAATGCTTTTTACATAAGGTATTTTCACAAGTACAAACACATACAATGGTAATGAATAAAATGATATATTTACAGCGTGTTGTTTCTATATTAATTTATAAAAATATAAAATATGATTTTTCTATTTTACACAACATAACATGCTACATGAACAAGACACTGTTAGCTAGTGTTCAATCTAGACTTTCGAATTTTAAAAGAAGTATTTAGCAAGCGCAGGCTTTATTGAGAGCAAATGATTAATAAATAACTATGAGATAACATTAACAAAATCCAACAAAATAAATAAGCTTATAGAATTAAGAAAGAGAGAGAGAGATAATATCAACTTAATGAAAGTTGATAGAATTTAATATAGTGGAAAATGTTGTGATCATAGATATCACAATTTCGATGGCACGTCAAGATTCTTTTTATGGTTTTTACGGAACTTATTTAAAGAGTGTTTGTGAGAAGTGTATCTCCTTGACAAGCAGGACCTTGGCTTGGCCAGTTACAAGCTCCCAAATTAGGATCAAAACTTAATTGAACTGGGCAATTGAAGACATGAAGTGTGAATCTCTGTTTTGTGCAATCCCATCTGCATGCATAGAATTTGTTGCATTGTTTTGGATGACGGAACAATCCTGCTCTCTGACAATCAATGGATCCTTGGAGCGTTTCATCTCTGCTCCTCCAGCCACCTGGCCCGTATCGATCAAACCCATTAGAATCCAATGTTGCTTCTGCTTGTTTGATTTCGACGGTAGGTGCCACTTCTTCGTTCAATAGTACAGTCCTATAGGTTGGAGCAACCGTGACAGCCTTAACACGCGGTCTAATTCTAACAGTTTTCTCACTAGCCAAAATCGCCGTTGGTGTACTCGAGACATAGTTTTCACTCTCCCTCCCGTTGGGCACAATTGCTATATTATCATTGCTCGCTTCTTGATAATCTTGGTAAAAGGAATCATCAGGAACGATTATAGGATTATTCGTTGATGTGACAACTGGAGTTGGTGTGACAACAGTAGTTATACCAGGTGTTTGTGTCACGGAGTCGTAATCAGTACTGTAGTCGTTAGCATCTTGTTGCTGTACAGCTGGCCTTCTGCCTTTAAGTATTAAGATAGGTGATTGGCAACTGCACACAGCGCCTAATTTTCGTACGAGTAGTGGGTTAAAGTCGTTAATCTTTGTCACTACTGCTACTTTAGGTTTAGTTCTACGTGCTGGAATATAAGAAGGCGTTACTTCAACCAGCTCTCCTTGCACGGGTGCATACGTTGATGTAGTTGATTTCGAAGATAACGAGTATGTCCCTGCATTCAACTCGGGAGCTGCAGTTGTAACTGTAACCAGCCCAGCATCCGGACCTACTGTACCAAACCCAAGTAAGTTATATTTCGCATTTTGGATAACAATGTTCTGCTTTCGTTTAGGTGTTGAAGATGTTGTGGATATTATAACGGGGGTTTCATCCGAAGCTGTGTATTCTTGGTAGGGGTTTATATTGATTCTTTGAGAAAATGAAGTGTCCGCATTGTTGATTCCTATTATATCCAGTTTTTGGTCAAATCTATCCACAGGTGGCAAATACTCAGGAGCTTTATAAGCTTCTTTGGATTCAACATATTGGTATGTAGTTGTTTGAGGAGTGGAAGTAACAAAAGATGGTCTTACATACTTGGGTCTGCTTCTACGAGGTATTGTTGATGTAACTTCTACTAGTTCAGGTGCGAACGTTGATGATACAGTTTTGGGTGCTAAATAATAATTATCAGTACTTGAAACTGGAATCGGTGTCTCAGTCTTGTAATTTACAGAGGTTACTAATCCAGCATTAGGGCCCACTGAACCAAATCCCAGTAATTGAGATTTTCTTTGAATTGGTGTTGACGTTGAAGATAAAATAGTATCTTGAGAAATAATGTAATCTTGATAAGGAGTTTGCGTTATCTTTAATCCGAAAGATGTTTGCCCTACTGGTGGTAAATATTCTCTTGATTGGGTCGTCGATTTGGCAGTTTCTTGTGGTGGCAAATATTCAGGACCGTTATATTCTAAAGTTGTTTTCGCTACGGCAGGTAGATACTTTTGTGACGTTGTCACAGTAGAATAAGTCGGAGGTCTATAAGTTGTGGTCACGACAGGAGTTACTGTTGAAACAACTGGTGGCAAATACTCTTCACCTTTATAACCTACTTGAATTTCAGGGGATTGGAAAGCATTTTGTTTGTACAAAGTGGTTACACTTTTACTCGGTAGATCTACAGTAGATTGTCCTACGGAAGAAGGAATTGTTTGACTTATATCATACTGTTGTGAGTACTCTACAGGCTTGTAATCGTATTGATCTTGAGTTTTATAAAATGTGGAGCTTTGCTGTTGAACAACTGGTGTAGAGGCCGTGGACACGGTATAAGTTTGTTGATACTGTGTTTCAGGTACAATAAATTCAGGTGATTTATATGTTTTACCGTTATTAACTTCCTTGCTTGTATAATGATCTTCATAAACTAAAGTGGAAGGAGTAGTTGAAACAAAGGCGACATCTTTTGCAGTTTTATATTGGTTACTGCCAAGGTGGAACTCTTGATGAGACACATCAGTAGCGTCAGAATAAGCAGCCTTTGATGTACCAATATTAGTTTGAAGTTCAGGTTGGTTGTATAAATATCTCTCCTGATCTAATTGCACATTTATGTTATCATAAGCCTGCTCAGCTGTAGTTTCATATTGAATTAGGCTGTCCTGAACCAGAGGTTTAGAAGTTTGAGTGAAAACTGTGGCAGTCGGTCGCACATATGTAATAGGGGTAACTTTTTCTGTTTTAGTGTATTTCAATATAGGGTTCTCATAAATGGAAACAGTTGGCTGTTGGTACGTCAATTCGATTTTAGGAAGTGAAGTAGTAGAAACAGGAGTTAATTTCTGAGTTTGAATTCTTTGTATAAATGTTTGCGGTCTATAAGTATATGTTACAGTAGGTATAGGTGTTGATGATTCCACTGTTGTCTTTAATATCTCTCCCTGTTGACTTATAGGTTGCGTGTTATAATAACCAGTAGCAGAAGCATCTTGTGTGTACGCTTTCACCTGTCCAGCGTCAACTTTATGGAAAGTTTGATGACTATAAGATTGTGGTTGGTAAGAAGAGACACTAGGTTGATATGAAATAACAGGTTGAACTGTCGAATACTGAACTACATTTTGAGGTTGATCATAAATGACACCAGTTTTTTCAATATTTTTATATGTTGCTTGCTGGCTGTATGATTGTGGTGTATATGTTGAACTTATATATGTTTGCGGGGTAGACTTCTGAGCGTATTTTAGAATTGGATTTTCATACACTGTCACAGGTGTTGTCTGATACGTGTACTGTTCACGATCGATTGGACGTACTGTTGTGGACACAGGATTAAATTTCTGAGTTGCAACTTTATAAATTGTTTGTTGACTAAAAGATTGTGGGCTATAAGTTGATGTTATAATCGGTGCTGGTGTTGTATACTGGTAAACAGTTTTTTGTGTTTCATCATAGCTACTAGGGTTCGCGTATTGGTAACTATCTTCCTCATTTTGTACATAAGCATTAACTTTATTCGCGTCAACTTTATGAATTGTTTGTTGGCTGAAAACTTGCGGTTGGTATGTAGGTTGAACAGATGCCGTTGGCAGTGTTTGTGTATATTGTACTACATTTTGAGGTTGCTCAAACGTGACCGTACCATCACTAATCTTATAGTCAGTTGATCCAACATTAACTGCTTCAGAGTAAACATTAGCATCATTAAGCCTTTCGTCTGTTTGTTGACTAAGTGCTTGTTGTGTGTACGTACTAACTGAGGGGCCTGTAGTATAAGCTACCAATTTTTTAAAAGGTTTTTCGGTCACAGGCGTAGAGTATTCTGAAATACCTGACGCCACGCTATGAACAGTTTGCTGTTGATGGCTAAATCCTTGTGGTTTGGATCTAGAAACCGATATAGCTGGTATACTAGTAGTGTACGAAAATCCGTCTTCGAATTTTACATTGGGTTTTGGATAATCGTAACCGGTAGTGTCAACACCGACATTGTAAGTTGAGGCCTTATTTTCATTACGATAATCAACATTCGAATTGTAATCGGTAACCTCAACAGTAGGAGTCACATATTTTTGTTCTAGTGCAACAGCTGTGGGTTGTACGAATGTGACAGGTTGCTGAGTATATCCGAATATTTGCTTAACGCTGCTCCTTGGCGCTAAAGGAACGTACGTCGTTTTGTAAGCTGTCACTGGGGGCAATGCTGTGGTAACTGCGAATGGTGTTGCAGTTGTAGGAATACCAGAAGAAGTTGGATTTGTAACAAAGCTATAGCCATCAAGATTGTGAGCATCTGTTCCAATGTGATTTATTGTTACTGCAGGTTGAGATACATACGTTGCTTGACCCGTTTGAACATTTTTACTTTCATATCCTTCTTCACCAGTATATCCAATGTCAACTAATGTTGTTTTGCCTACAAGGCCTACGTTAACTGCCCCGCCTGTTAATGAATGACCTGCGCCAGTTCGTTCAACATATGCTCCAGAGTCGTCATATGTTCCAACATAGCCGTCAATTTTATAAGAACCTGGATAATCAGTATTATAACTACCCTCTTCAAAGGCAGGTCCTGCAGGTTTAGGATAATAGTACCCGCTTGTCTCTGATAGAAGCGTAGAACCATCGTTGTAAGACCCCGTGTCGTTGTAAGACCACGTGTCGTTGTAAGACCACTTGTCGTTATAAGACCACGAGCCGTTGTATTTTCCAACATCAAAACCATTTGTCACTGTGTAACCCGAATCCACATGCTTATAAGGTACAGGAGGTGGAGCAACATGGTTGTATGGTAAAGCTTTGTCACCAGTTGGGTCATGGACATACTTGCCTGAATTCGAAGGTCTGTATTTGCCGTCATTATAACGACCACTGCTATACAACTCTGGTCTATAGTAACCGGTATTGTACCTGCTGTCATATTTGCCCGTATTTTTGGGAATAGAGCTCGTAACTCTAGCGTTCTGGGAGTACGATGCGGTAGAACCCACATTATCATTACTGACTGGACTTGCAGTACTAGATTTAGAGCTGGGCAGCCTGTAGTCATCTAAAATTAGGGAACCACTTGTATACTGTGCGCCATCTTTATCGTTAGTACCTTGCGCAAAGCCAAAGTTAACATTTGAAGCTCGAGCTTCTCCATCGTACTTTACAACATTTTCAACTAAGCTTGAAGCGTCGTTCGCTAATATATATTCATGTCCGTTGCTGGCTCCTCCGAATAGTTCTTCTGAGGTGATGAAATTGGCATCTAACCCATTCCCTCTCGTTAGGAATCCGTCTTGTATTCCAACTAAGTTGTCCAAGGATGCTCCGGAAACCAAACTCTGATGACCAGCTATGTTCACAGCATCAGCGGTTTTACCCCGGAAGCCGAGAGCTCCTGCAACAAAACAAGATTCACTTGTATTTGTGTATTTAATATATATTAAATACATACTTTTCTTAAATCTAATTTACTTATTAATACACATTTTATTATCATCATCTTTACCATTACAACTCTTTACAAGTCTACTGATGAGCATAGACCTCCCTCTTGGAATGTCACAAAGCACAGCGCTGAGCCACCTGCATCTATCGACTTCCTGTGTCTTACCAGGACACTACGCTTACTCGTACGGACTGTCACTGCCACTAGCGATTTCTATATATTTATTCTTTTCTGCCTATTTTATTAGTATTTACTTAGTATAACCATAAGTCTAGGAATATGTAGAATTTGCATAATATAAGAAATCATAGCCTAGGAACTGTTAGTATATGTTCAACAAATAATCGATTGAATTAACCGTTTGCCGTGATTTTTTGGTAAGCTTTCTTTATTTGCTGAGTACCAATTCATTTTTGATGGAATAAAGGTCATAAATGAGGTCAAATTATAGACACCTATATAATGATAATATCGTTGATAATAATCAAAATGCAGGTGTTGTCACTTGCGAGGACAGATGGAATGACACGTTAGTAAAAAGGGTCTCTGGTACTTGTCACTTAACACACGAAATACAGCAGCGTTATGCTGTTATTTCACGCTGATATTTTGTGCTAGCATGTTCCTTCCCATGTCCAGTCGACCCATTCATGCTTCAGCCTTAACGTACTAAAGGCTGGCTCTACCATTAATTAATTATTGTTGTTTTGATGTTTTCACTAGTTTAAAACAACAAGAAGAGATTAATGTGACGATGAAGTATAGAGTTGATTGGATAATTCACAAATCCTTCTTTTATTGACATACAAGATCATCACGATAAGAAATACAGCAGCGTTACGCTGCTATTTCACGCTGATATTTTGTGCTAGCATGTTCCTTCCCATGTCCAGTCGACCCATTCATGCTTCAGGTTAACGTACTAAAGGCTGGCTCTACCATTAATTAATTATTGTTGTTTTGATGTTTTCACTAGTTTAAAACAACAAGAAGAGATTAATGTGACGATGAAGTATAGAGTTGATTGGATAATTCACAAATCATTCTTTTATTGACATACAAGATCATCACGATAAGAAATACAGCAGCGTTACGCTGCTATTTCACGCTGATATTTTGTGCTAGCATGTTCCTTCCCATGTCCAGTCGACCCATTCATGCTTCAGCCTTAACGTACTAAAGGCTGGCTCTACCATTAACTAATTATTGTTGTTTTCATGTTTTCACTAGTTTAAAACAACAAGAAGAGATTAATGTGACGATGAAGTATAGAGTTGATTGGATAATTCACAAATCCTTCTTTTATTGACATACAAGATTATCACATCATATTTACCAGTAAGTGTGGCGCCGGAGAAACCGTAAGCTTCGGCTTCGTATCTGCCGATGTTTCCGCAGTTAGGCACCAACCACGGCCAGTCGCACTTGAGCCGTGCGGCATCGAATCCCAATCCGAACGGGCAACGGAACTCGTACGCTGTCAGTGGCGCCTTTCCATGGTCCAGGCAAGCAAAGAACCAACGACAGTTCTCAGGGTCCGCGTAAAAGCCTGGAATAAATTCACCTTGTTCAAAATTTGTAGCGAAAACAATAATTCTATATTGTGGCATCGAACGGACAATAGCTGTATTGTAGTAAAAGAGGGTACGTGTTTTTCATGCGCAATATCACCATAGAGATATGAACAACCGAGAGCAGTCGGCCTGGCACGCTAGTGTATATATATATATATATACTAGCTTGCCAGGCAGACGTTGTTTTGCCCTTTTCGACAACGCTGTCATGTCCTATTGAAAATCCTTAAATTCGTAAAAAAAATATTGTGGGTCACTCATGGGCAGAAAAACTATCCTATCTCTCAAGTTGGATCAAACTGCACACGGTGTGTAAATTTGATTAAAATCGGCTAAGTAGTTACGGAGTCCATCGCGGACAAACAACGTGACACGTAATTTATATACATTAAGGTATATGTGTGTGTCTGTATAAGTTTGAAAAATACAGTTTTATCCCCCGAAAAACTTAATAGTTTAATGTTAAGCTAAATCAGCCCGCTTTTCCATCTTCGGCTGCATCACCAATCACCATCAGGAAAGTAGTAAAGCACTGGCTTACAATATATATATATAAATCAATTGCTTTCAGTTAGTCTCGCTGAAACTTGAAACTGGCTCTACCGATACTGATGACATCTTTTGTGTTTGTTTGAGCTGGATGGTTTAGATTCATAATTGAAGCCGGTGGGTAAGTATCGGATCGATAGAAATTAATAAAAATATGGATTATTGTTATATAGATAATAAAACGAACATAGCACACATAAACTTATTTAAAATTTATTTCTTAAGAAGTGTTTTTATCGATTTTTAAAACTGTGAAATGAAAGAGAGCTTTAACAAATAAACTGCATTACCTTCAACATTTGGACAGACAAATCTGGTCCTAGGCACAGGCGCGATCTCAGATGTTCCAGGACACGCTTGCGAGTCGGGTAGGCTGCCTGGCCATACGCAAACTTCATAACGCGAATCGAAGGCAAGACCAGTCGGACAGTCGAATTCAAACACCTGAGGAATAACATAGAATAGAATATTTTTCATTCAATATAGATTAAATAATACTTATTGAAACTCATTTTTTTGCTTTTACTAAAGTTCGAATTAAGGTTCGAAAAAAGCTTCTGTCAAGGGAGGAACCAGTAAGAAGCCTAATGAGACTTGTTTCTTCAAAGTAATATTTTACATTATAAAATACTCGTCGTGTTCATTCATTTGTTAATAATGTCCTCAAGATCGAATTTCGGTCACGGCAACCAGTCTCAACGGAGACTAGCCATCAGCGCAGGACAGGATTATAGTGCCCAAGTGTATGCGCAAGCACAGGTGCACTCTGCATTCCCTCACTCTCATAGTCCAAAGGGTTTAAGAGCTTTTCGATGCACGGGATTGAAACACAATCTTTCTGCCTGAGAGATGCTGAGAACATCTCGACAGAGAAATTCAATCACAAATTTTTTAACCCGACCCGGGTTTTGAACCCCATGGTCGGCAGTCGCGTTTATCACCACCAGACCAAGGAGGCAGACCAGTTATTAATCACGGCCTAGAAAAGGTCACCGCTGAATATAGGAATCCCAAATAGATTGCCTCATAATTTATTTGGCATAATGGATTTGGGCATTCCCATTCAAATTTGAGTTAAAGATGCTGCATTCATCTAAGTTTCAAAATTAATCAGAATATACTAATTATACATATAGGTTGAGTTTGATGTATTTTAAATTTTAAAGTCAGTGTTTCCAAACTATCACGACTCTTTAAATGCCTCGTATATATACTGGTGATTTTTTTAACGTCTGGAAAAGACTTGGTATTACAGGTGAACGAAATAAAAATCTATGGGCACTGATATTTTACAGTTTTTTTTATTTTATTTCACATAAACATATTATGAAATAGATCTATCAATAAATACGACAAATTGGGTACGTATTATTTTAATTCTGATGGTTTTTAATTTATTTATTTATCTAGTTCAAAAATTTTGTTGGTTTTTCTTTTGTACTGAAAGTTTGTTTTAAATTAGTAGTATTTATTTATAGATCAATTTCATCATATGTTAATGTAAAATAAAATAAAAATTTGTTAAATATCAGTACCATAGGCTTCTATTCCGTTCACCTGTTACACCCAATTTTTTTCAGACGGTAAAAAAATCACCCAGTATGTGTATTCAAAGAGTAGCCAAATTTTAAACTTAAGTTCAAATATATAAATAATGATATACAGTTTAGCAGTTTTTGAAAATTCGAATTAATAAGGCTTCTACTTATATTTGAAATTATCCTAAATTAAATGTGTTTTACGAACAACAACGTTTTTGGCTAAGGGTTTATCCCTTACGAATGTGAGCGTGAGCAATAAAATCACTAAAAATACCATTTACCTACTTATTCTGAACCGTCTCGGCTAATTTGGCCGATTATTGCAAAATAACCCTTTATATCGTTACTGGTTAGTAGAAAGGGCGAATATACATTATTCGCCGTTTTGCATAACAAAACAGTTTGATGATTAAATTAGTAAATTGTAATATGGGCGAATATGATATATCAGGCCTTTCTTCGTAACAAATAGGTGATATTCGCCGTTTCACATTTGTTTTATTTTCTGTTTGCTGGTCTATTCAAAATTAAAAATGACTCAGGGAATTGTTCTGTTACGAAAAAGAAAATCATAGAAAAATGGCTTATTCGCCCTTTCTACAAACCAGTGACGTTATAGTAATATAATACTCACCGTAAAATCGGGCGAATACTGGTCGAACTTCACGCAACGATAGAATCGGGCGCAAGAGCGAGGGTGCACGAAGTATCCTTGACGGGAGCAAGAGAACTCAGTTCTTGTATCCTGGATGATAAAGTTGATTTTGGCTTAGATCCATAATGTAAAGAAAAATATAAACTAAATTTACTGCTAAATATTTATTGAGGAAAATATATTTTTAATTATTTCTTATTTAAAATAGCGATACCAGTAACGTCACTCAAATTCTCGTTAACCGCTCCAAGTAATCTGTGCTGTAAAATGCTCGTATTGTGATAGTATTTGAAACTGTCGATGTCGAACTCATGACCAATATATATGGTAAAATATGACTTTTTAAACATATATTTTACTTTTATGTTCATAAAAACAAAAACAGAAAAAGGCAAAATAATTATGTGTGTCTGACCTAACTTCATCTATAGTAAAATTCACTTTGAAGAGGTTTCGTAATTATAGAGATTAAATTGAAGGAATCCAATGCATATTATAAATATATTTCTTCTCAATGGATTAGAATCTTCTAGATAATCAAGAGCGTCGTCAGCTGACGACCCAGGAGGGGTCAAGTTGACATTTAGAGGATGGGAAGGTGCGTACAAGAGCACACAAAGCTTTACACTTCCATTTCGAGTCTTACCTCTACGGCGATTGTAATACGAACGGTACAAATCCTATGTGTAAAGCTCCGCGAGATCTTGGTTGTAAATTATATAAGACTGGTTGCTTTGTATTTGACTACATTTTGTGAGACCACCACTTAGCGACGCGCTTGTAGATAATACCTATCAAAAAGAGGTAGTTAATTCAGTCCTGACAAAAAAAAAGATTATCTTAATCACAGAAATCGTAATAATATATTATTACGATTTCTGTGATCTTAATAAAGTTGTGTTGATTGTTGGTAAGATTTCATCAGGTTTATTATATTTAAAATGAATAGTTACTCCATTTAAAATGTTCTAAACGGCAAAATTACTAATCGATAAAATGTATATAAAAGTCAATTCACCTCTCTGATTGAGTGAATGACACCGTCGGAGTCGACGACTTGTGTTATGCGGTACGGAGACACCTGGAGCGCGTCAAGAGGGCGACCCTGGCCTGATGCTGAGAGGATCTCATTCTCAAGAGATCTGAAATAAATGATCAACAATATTTATAATAACAAGGCATATTTTTGCAAAGTGATATTTAATTTAATGGCCTTAAAAAGTGTTTGGATAATTTTTATCGATGCGCTTGTTCTCATTGATTTCATCCATGGTGGCTTAGCGATTACTTACAAAATTAGAAATAGTTATCGCCCATGGTAATATTATTTACAATTTCAATCGTAGTATTTTATATAATATGTCATTTATTTAAAATATAACGACCAAGATAGTAAGATATAATTTATAATAAAAAAAGACACGATCGCATTAGGTTCGCCTTGTAGGATAGATGTCTCAAGTAATAAATAAATAAATAAATCTCATGGTAAGTGTATACTTTCAGCCAACAAAAACCAGGGGCTACAGATGTGTTGTCACCTCTGAGGACTTTTTTCCCGAGTTTAATAGGTATAAATATTACACTATGGACGGAATGGCTAACATCCTGTAATTATTCTGGCTCTTTATACATTGGAAATATGTAAGAGTACTTATCCTAAGGGACTCTGAAACAAAAAAGGACTTACCTATACTACTTATGGACGACACACACGGTCAGTTCAACTGATCAGTTCAAACTGATTAGTTCAAATTAGGACTGTTGATATTATTTAAAATATCGGATTTTCGATATATCGATAAAAAATCTGATATATTTATAATTATCAATATATCGAAAATTCGATATTTTAAAAAACTTCATCAGTCCTAGTTTTAACAGATCAGTTGGAATGTAGTACGGGTGGCAACCCTACCTTTGGGTGACAGATGTGCGAGTTGGTGTATGTATAAAAACCGGCTCTCTCACCTTAGCACCGCAGCTCTTGGTGCTCGGCTCTGCTGGTTGAGCACCTTAGCCAGGCTCGCGCGCAGCGTGGGTCCACACGGAGTGTCGGTGTCCTTATCAGCCTTGTGGAGCGCCAGACCGGCGAGACCGCGCACACGAGCGTATTTACCCTTAACGTCTACTGATGACGAGTCTTCGAAGGAGATCCAAGTCTTGAGCCTGAAATAATCAAGAATCAGTACTTGAATGTGACGAGGATCGAGGACGAGCTACCATAGACGTATATAAAACATATGGACCTGGTATACCTACAAGAAAAACGTGCATACCTACACTTTACTGAGAGGATAAAGGATATAGTTAATAGGACAACCCATGTCGATATTTCTATAATAATAACATCGATAAAAGATTGTGAGAAAGTTTTCATATGTTTTCATATCATTCATTAAATAAAATATTGTAATAGGATTATTTTGATTATTCAACAAACAAATAAAATAAACTCGCACAGTTAAGTGCACACACACTGAACAGTTTTTGTTCGTTGAATATTTTTTTTATTTGTATAACTGTATTACCTATACTATGCCTATGCCTAAAAGACAATAAGACTGTGTAAAAAATTGGTTCATATACGAAGCGCCAACAACTATTTGTCTTTAAAATATTTAATGATAATTACTTAGAAATACTGTATAAGCAAATCAATACATTTTCCTCGGACAAATACTCCTAATTAATAAAGAAAGTATTCATATTAAACTACCAATCATGATTTTTTAAACAAGAAAAAAATGCAAAAAAAAACTTATAAACTTTTCAAAACAAACAAAAAACTACTCTGCCAAACCATCCATATGTTAAGAAAAACTATTGGCAGTTTTGATTGGTTGAACCCAAAGGCAGAACTTTGCTAATGCTAAAGCTAAGCGGTGGAGTTATGTAGTGTTAGCTAGGAAACTATTTGAGTAATAAATATGTCAAAGGAAATTGATTGAAATGGAATGAATTAATCTGAATCAAGACGGACCAGTCTTGTCTTCTGTTAGTAAAATCAAAGATATCAAAGTTAAGCCAGAACTATCTGATTAAGTCATATAGTCAATGAAATTATTACAACTACAATATTAATATCATTGAGTAAAATAAGCTTAAAACCTGAGTAATTTAATTTAAATGCTTGTAGGTAGTTCATTAATCACGAAATTAATTAACGCCATAAATATTAAGTCAAGTGATTTATTAACTCTATCATCTTGTTATAGATCTAATATTAATTATAAATGGGTATATGTAAATACTTTATCGATTATATATTAAATTGGACCAATTATCTAGTTTCTTTATAGTCGGTAAATTTCTGGACAGTTTGTTATGTTGTGAAAGTTTAAATTTGATTCAGTATTTTCTCATTTTTAATTCCATATTTGTAATTTGAGTAGTTTTAAAAAATATATAGTTTGTTATTATTTTTAAATTTGTTGTAGGTAATGTTTACGAGACGTTCGATAAGAACTTTCAAATACATTATTACAATAAAGTTTGGCTCGTGTCTTTGATTATGAAATTGCTTTTTCCCCTTCTTTTATTTATTACAAACTTTGCATTGGGTTTATTTTGTTTTCTAATACAACCTTTGGGATTGTATTTAAACACTGGCCTACAATAAGTAAACAATTTATTTTATCAATGAGTAGGTATACATTTTTTAGTCTAAATAAATATTGTAATACTTACTTAAAAGCATATGGCGCGGACAAATCCTGATCTCTTTCTAACGTCCAGCGGCCCTTTTGCAACTGTCTGCAGAGCTCAGCCTGGTCAATTTCTTTAGGCTCGTCATCTTGGGCCGGGCTTCCTGGAGTACTTAGGGTTTCGTTGACGAGAGTAAACTGACGGGCGGTTGCTGGTAAGCTAATGACAATTTTGGTAGCTGGCACTCCAAGACCAATGACTAAGTCCACTACTGAGTCCTGGAAGAGAGTTTTAGAACAAATATAACAAAAAATATAGGTTTGAAAAAAATCAAAAATTCACGTGGTCGTATGGAAAGCCTTAAAAGCCTTAAAGTCCACTGCGAACAAACGCATTTTCAAAAATGTGTTTCTAAGACTATAACTCACCTGAACGTGCGAATGTACTCGTATGATGGAGGAAATACATAAAAAATGCCAATCCAACTAACTACGTACAACTCGTATTACCACCGTGGAGAGGATTGGCAACTCTATCAGGAATTGCATGACTGATTGTGTAACAAAAGTTACCTTCATCACCATCATCATGATCATCAACCTATAAAAGTTCACTGCTTGGTTTCCTTTCCCGTCGTAGGGAGAATTTGCTTTGATCGTCACGCTCGTCAGGCAGATCAACTCTAGAATATTATCTATGGACTAACGCACTACTAACGTCGAGGACGAGGACGAATAAAAGAGAATCATTTTAAAAATGGCGACCAATAATATGAATGTGTGTACACAATACACCATAACGTTTCATATTTAAAAGTTATTTAGACAAATATATTGGAAGTTATAATGTCCTCCAGACCGAATTTCGCCCACGGCAGCCTACCTCAACGGAGACTAGCTAACGGCGCAGGACAGGATTATAGTGCCCAAGTGTATGCGCAAGCAAAGGTGCACTCTCTATTCCCTCACTCTCAAAATCTGATGGGATGGATAACCGACCGACACGACTGGAGAAGTTCAGGCGCAGGACCAACGGCTTTACGTGCTTTCCGAGGCACGGGGGTGAGACACCGCCACCTTCTTGACTCCAGGCAACTACCGAGAATTTCTTGACGGAAAAACTCAATAATTGATTTTTTGATCCGACCCAGGATTCGAACCCAGGATCTCATAACCAGCTGTCGAACTACTACAACCATTAGACCAACGAGGCAGGCAGTTGAAGTTATATGAATTACAATCAACGCCTGTAATAAAATTAAGAGCAATGACATACTGGAGAAACAACTAGGTGTCCACATTATGTTCAGAGTATTAATTTTTATTTTCAATTACCTTGTGAACCTATAAAATATACACATATAACTTAATATATAAGTAATAAAATATAAATAACCTTCTTGTCGAGAGGTAACTATTGGCTAGGTCTCTAACTGAGATGGCAATTACCGGCAGATGTCACATAACCACATATGGGAGATAATTAATATAAGGAAAACAGAGTTCTAATGCAATCAAAAAGTAACGTTTTTTTTTAATAAATTTAGACATTGTTAAATAATGCAGTTGTTTATGGCCTGATATTTTCGATTAAGAGTGTAGTGTGTAGTGTGACTTGCATTTTCGAAATTATAGTAAGAAAAATTCAGTTATTCTCAGTAAAAAAAAAATTACTTGCCAATGTCAGACTAGCAAAGATAATAAACAGAACAAACACTACGTACATTCAAAGTTACGCCTTACAAATATTTCATATCAATCAATCATTGTAATTACAGCCCTTCGCAAGTCCACTGCGGACCATAGGCTTTCCGCAAGGGCAGCCACAAAGCACAATCCTGAGACACCTGTATCCATCGACTTCCTGCACTCTTACCAGATCATCTTAGTGAGAGGATGCCCTTCATTCGAGATGCGAATCGACGAGGATGCCACTTGGGAACCTTTTCCCTATCGACTATCGGTTCTTCAAGCTATATGGCCGGCTCATTGCCACTTCAGCTTACTAATCCATTGGGCTTGATCGGTCACTCTGAATCTACCACAGATACGCTCGTTTTGAAGTCTATCACGCAGAGAAACTCCGAGCATATCCCGCCCCAAGCGACCGAGAGCTTCCTTATATGGTCAGCAATAAAAATCATATATCATCATGAACTGGTTGTACGCTCTTGTTTAAAAATATTTGTTACAAAGAGTATAGTTACTCACTTGCTACTACAGCCTAATGTTTGGTTAATGCGCCACCGGCCGTCATATTTTACAGTCGCCATTTTGAAAATCATACTTTTCATTTTTATATATTGGTTCATAAATTTTTATTCTTAATAAATAAAACCGTTCTGGGCTTACATGTCGTAACAAAACAATCTAAACCGAGGTAATCATTTATTTTACTTTGGTATCATATTTTTTTAAATATACCTACCAATTAAGCTTTAATTTATAGCGATGAGCAAACTAACCCAGTCAAATGTAAAATTGCCAACAGTTCTCCATAACCATTTGCGATTTTCAAATAGCAAAGATGCACCTGTCATTTGGCCTAGTTGTACTAAATTGTAAAAAGAGGCACCGCGTATTTACTTTTAAGTAACTTAAAAATAGCCCTTAAATCGACAGACTTAAGACTGACCTTACTTCCAAATAAGCGTCATTTTATAAAATTGTTGAATTTTTCTCAGTAGTCAGCTAGTTCACCTTCGTGGACTACAGGCTGAATAGAACGTATGACGTAATTGAACTAGAAGATATGTTTAGAAAAGTATACAGCGATAAAAGTGGAACTCGGCTGATTTAATTTGAAGGTGGTATTTATCACACTTCTTAAGGGGATATAGTATTTCAGCTCAAATTCTAATTTCGCCCTCACTTCCCTGCGCGTCGTATGCTATGTACCGACATAATAATAATTGCATTTGAGGGTTTCCAGCTTATGCCTTCTACTTACAGCACTCATGGTTTTGTGTTTACTCAGAATTGTCTGTATAATGTGAAGCTTTCTAATTGAAAGAATTCAGGTAGTTTCATAAAGTTTGTCAGTTGAAAAAATTTGTTTTTTAAAATACATAACCTTTATCAAACCTCGTTGTGCACGTTCCGCCTCAAGAAAGCGCGTTTTGGCTGCACCTCCCCATACAGGCAAACAGTAAGCAAGAACAGACTGTACTAAGGATATGTATATTTCTCTTAGAAGACACTTGTCCCTAGTCCCCGTTTCTAAATCTGTCTTAGGTACCACATGTCACAATGTCTTAAAAATCCTTATTCTCTGAGTGACATTTTTGTAATCATTAATACTGTAAGTAGATAGGTCGTTAGATACTCGTACTTATTTCATTAGGTTTATCGTATTTATGCCAGTTTCTTTACGCCAACCCAGTCGCTTCTCATTTATATTACGGTTATTTCCCATTTTAATTTTACGTCGTCCTGTTGCGTAATGTGTATTCTGGTCGTAAGTGACACACCTTCCCCGTTCAAAAGCAAAGCGAGACTAACCGCTAACTGGGCGGCAGGAAACAAGCTTCAAGACGCCGATAGTTTAGGTAAATTTTTTTTTCAGTGAAAATAATGGTAATTGAAAAAAAATTAAAAACAAGCACTGCTTTATAGTTAGTTCAGTTAGTATGCAAAGTTTCATGATCTAATATAAAGTATTTTATGAATAACCGCGGTTTATTTTACAGTTTAGAGGTAAATTTGGATTTTTTTTCTATGAAGAAAATTTTAAGGAATCGTGTTTTCGTCTAACATAGTACTTAATATTAATCCTCAACTTTGCCATATATTTATTTCAAAATTAATGCTGCAATATTTTCGGCATAACGGAGGATCTTGCTAAGCCATTTGAGGAAGTATTTTTAATATTTCCTCTTAAACAATTATCCCAGAGATACAAATCTGTGTTTAACGTTAGTGGATATGTCGGCCATGCAGGCCGAAAAACCGACATCTGTACCAACATTTATACGTAGTAGTGCCAGAGCTGTAGCTATATTATAGTTGTAACACGAACGTGTCGGCTCGACTGGGGAACGACCACGCTCTCACAGAATACCAACGTCAAATAGCAGCTTAATACTGCTGTGTATCGTATGGTGAGTGTAGAGATCCGGAGACCCTTTTTTACTCGAAACCAGGCATTCAATTTTAGTCCTCAGTGGTGACAACGCATCTGCATTTTTATTCTTAATCGAGGATAAATGTAGATGTCTATGGGCCATGTCTATGGGCACTTACCATCAGGTGAACTGTGTACTTGTTTGTCACCCTTATTCTATAAAAAAATCTGATGGGAAAGAAAAGTTCTCGATTGGCACCGTCGTGCTGGTAGCACGTGGAGGGAGTCGATAATTGCTAATGGCTAAGGAGAGTTTTGTGGCAGTCTTTGCGGGACGAATATGCATATGCCGCATATGTCAGCAGCATAGGATTTGTGATGACTGCATTGATGATTTTTTAACTGCTCGAACTCGATAAAATGAATCTTAAAATCCAATATTGTCGTTACATTGATAAAAAGGAAACCATTACATAAGCCGTAAAAATTACAACAGCTTAAATATTATATTTAATATTTATGTCTCAAGAATGAAACAGGAAGTTGCTAAAAGCTCGATCGTAGTCAATTTCCAAACAAATTGACTTACAACAGAATTCACATTAACCCGAGAATTTATTAAAATAGGTTTATTAATTATTAGGTTTATAAAAATATTAAAATATTAGGTTTATAAATAAATGATAAATTTATAAAGTTTACGTTATTTTTATAATTAAGTATGTAAGTCTAGTCTAATCTTGCGTAGTTGGATTTTTTTAATTAATAGCATAATTAATATTTATTGAATATGATACCGTGTTTGGGTATGAATGGTATGCTTTTCGATAATATAAGTTATTTTAATTTTATTAATATATTGTTAATAATTAAAAAAAATAAGTTGAATAGAACTAATACTTAATTTGTTTACAGTTTATATCTCATGTATACTGAATATTTTTCTTCTTCTTTTTTATCAGCTCTTAAAAGTCCATAGTTAGTCATGCGCCTACCTTATTTTAATAAAGTTTCGCCATAATCGCCAACGCTTGGCAGGCGGATTGGTAATCACAAAACACATTGATATATGCCAAGTTCCGTTGACGTCGCAACTAGGCGACGGTTTCAATATTTTACATGTGCAAGACGGCGCCAAAGAATATCCACTACACCATAACGTCCCATAGGTGTCGTAAGCGGCGACAGAGGGGAACAAGTCAGGATAGACAATGGACATCAGCTTCGTGGTCAATATCACACGAGGCAATCTCTGAAGAAGGCCTTTGTATGGCAGTGAACTTTTGACAGGCTGCAATCGAAGCGGTGATAAAAAAAGTTGTAATTCTTTCAATGACTTTTAAAGGTAAGTTACATAAACAAGTAAATGCATAAAGACCACGGTCAGTAAAGCCACGCCCAAACATGCTTCTTGGCGTTGGTCTGTAGTTATTGCAAGTACTTTGGAAAAGTATTTTCAATTAGTAATTTAATTAAAAAGCACCGTTGAATAACTGTTCTCTTTTCTTTTAATGTCAACTAGGTACTTAGATTTGTTAATAATAACAGGTTTAGTATAGATATATTATTATATTTTAACTTTTCATAAACTTTTTCAGAAGTTTTAAGTAAATATCTGTTTAATAATATTTTAATAATCATAAATTAATAATCTTGTAACCCCAGCTCTGCGTTCTATTCCAGTTTAATGACATATTAATATATTTTAACCATTATCCATTTGATATTCCTTTCTTTTTAAAATCCTCTCAGCCATCGTGAAAGCTAAATATTTGAAAGTTCGAAATTCCGTAAAATCGTAATCGAAATGGACATTATGCTGAATATTCTACAATTTTGCGAATAATTAGTGTCACAGAAAAGCAACGAAACCCTACACACCTAACCCCCCTCCATCTGCCATAAATGTGTATGAAGTAAAAACTTGTGGTCACATTATCTTCCACCGAAAGTTCTTTGTTGAATTATTATATAAAATAATTCTGCAGTTCCGGGAAGTCTACAGTTTGTGCAGTTTGTGATCATATCCTAGACGGCCCCAACTATTACATTAGATTTGATAGACCACAAATCCTTGAGAAAGAACATCGATTCCTACCAAGGATGATACGTAAGGCTATTGAAAAAACATCCTAATTTTAATAGAGAAAGAGGCTTGGTACTACCACCTGCTTGGGACCCTATAATTGATAAAATGAAAACTAAACCAAAGCATGCAACTGCAAGACTTCAAAACACAGTAAGTTCATTCAGCCTAGATCGGACAAAAAGCATTAATTAAAAACCTGAAGGTACTCCGGGTCAACATTGACATCGGGACGTCAGTCACCGTGACCATGAGTGCTGGAAACGTCGACAGAGTTCTCTGTCTACGGCCGGAAAGCACCCGAAACGTCGGGTATTAAAAATAAAATAAATTAAACGCGATAAAATCCTTAAAAGTAGTTTTATTGAATAAAGGAATTGATGTGTTTTCTTTTGTTCTGTTAAAAATTTAGAATAGTTAATTCTCATCCATTTGTATTAGATATGGGTAAAAATTACTTTGAATTGATTGCTTCTAGGAAATAAATATATTATCGTATATCAATTTTCTTGTTCTGCCTGAATGGTTTTGCGCCTAAATGTAGGATAACAATCCGAAAGCTTTCCTTGATGTTAAAAACATAAGAAATGCATCAAAATATCTCAAATATACATAAAAATATATCATTGTATTCCGTAAGCGATCTCGAAACGGAACAAACAGGTCGGCTACACACTTGCGGAATCCCGTTTTGCCCGCGAAATTCCGTACAGAATACTACTAGGTGTATGACGGGTCATTGATTTTATATGGACTTGCTGCGTTCGGAATCCCGAATCAGAATTCCGAAACGGAAACCCGAAACGGAACTCCGAAGTTGTGAAGTGTGGCGAGCCTTCCTCTGCTCGCGCGATGACTTGCAAGGTTTACAAATAGGACACTCTGAAGAAAATGTGTGTATCTCGTCGTGTGACGAAATCGCATCGTCTGATCGTACGATCACTGCCAATTAGGATGATGTCTTAGTGTTTCGTTTCCGTTAAATTTGGGCACAATTTTGGTACCGAAAAATTTAAATAATAAATAAAAATATACTTACAGCATTCATCATGTCCCACAGACCGCTCAGCCTACTTGGATGGTAAGTCATCTTCTTCACCAATCCCAGAGCATGAGTCTGGACTATCATCAAGTCTGCTTTCTTGACCAACTCTCTAAGGTCATAGTATTTAGCCAATAGTTCAGGGTTTGCGGGCAGCGCCAGGAACAGTGGTCCACCACCAGTAGAACTGATAGCAGATCGGGCTGATTCCACCATCTCCAAGACTTTGGTTCTATTGAGAGAGCGATGTGCATCGTATATCTCCAGACCTTGGACATGCTTGGTTTTCAGCAGCGTGCGAAGGTCCTATAATAAAGAAAAAATACTTTTTAATAATAATTTCCTAAGAATATCTTATTGCATACAATCTTAACCATAGCTGTTGTGATGATGTATTGATGTTTATATATTTCGATTTTTTCAACGTTTTTTTTTTAAATTATCACTTCGACCTTGTGAAACATCCTCCAAAGTCGTCTATAATAACGTCTCAAAGCAACATTAAGATCACATACATAATCTGAAAGATTTTATGTAAAACACAATATTTGTAATATTTATAAATCTGTTCTGGTTATACTTTTAAGGAATGTTGCTAGGCATTAACCCGGTTAACAGTGTCTAAAGAAATAGATTCGCTTTTAAGAAAAAAACTGTCATTTCGCAAAATGGCGTAATTTGGAAGTGTTTTAATTTTAATATGCGATTCTGAGACAGGGTCGCGTGACTGCTTGTCCTTACTGGTCCATAACGGTCACATCTTCTGCAACTGCCAACATTTTAATATTTATTTCATCACATCGCCATATACTAATAACTGTACTGTTTGAAAGATCTCTTAAGTGGTGTTTCACATTAGTAGAACATCACGGAGTCTTATTTCATAATATAGTTTAGATTTATTTACATTGCTTAGAAAAACGTATAAATTAAAATTAGCACCAACAACACTAACTTAGCATTAACGATTCAAATAAATTGGAGAAAAACAAAACAAGTTGAAATTCTTTTATTTAAAATATTAAGTTTTTTTTTTATAGAATAAGGGTGACAAACGAGCACATCGTCCACCTGATGGTAAGTGGATGCCGTGACCCATAGACATCTACATTTATCCTCGATCAAGAATCAAAACGCAGATGCGCTGTCACCCGTGAGGACTAAAATGGAATGCCTTGTTTTCAGTAAAAAATGGTCTCCGGATCTCTATACTCACCATACGAAACACAGTAGTATTAAGCTGCTATTTTACGCTGGTATTCTGTGGGAGTGTGTGCGAGCGAGCCCATTCGTGCTACCACATATAAATTACAGCCTATATACGTCCCACTGCTGGGCACAGGTCTCCTCTCATTTCTGAGAGGGTTTTAGGGCAAGGAATAGTCCACCGCGCTGCCCCAATGCGTGTTGGCGAACTTCACATGTCTTCGAAATATTTTTTATCTTATTCGTTAGACATGCAGGTTTCCTCACGATGTTTTCCTTCACCGCCGAGCACGTGGTAAATCAGCACTTAAAATTGCAATTAACAATTTCATTGGTGCCGGCGGGATCGAACCCGGTTTGCTCGCGTATTGTGAAATTTATAGCGAGCGCTAACCATCTGAGCTACCACGTATAAAAAAGTAGATTATTTTTAAATAGCATTATACATATAAAATAATAATTAAACAAATTAAGAAAAGGGCACAGGCCTCCTGTCATATTTAAAAAGGTTTTAGGGTAAGGAAATGTTCACCGCGCTGGACTATTGCGTGTTGCCGGACTTCATATGTCTTCGAAATATACTTAGGTATTTAATTTCTCAGACATGCAGGTTCTAAATTATCCTCACAATATTTTCCTTCACCGCCGAGCACGTGGTAAATCAACACTTATAATTGCTATTAACAATTTCATCATTAACGCCGGGTTCGAAATCGTGCTTCCGAGTTCGACTTCCTGTGCCATAGCTTTTGCTATGTTAGATTTTTTTGTAAATTATACATGATAACGCGTTCCATTTAAGGGAAAAGTGCGTATATGAAATTAAAACTTACTGTATTTCTTTGCATTAGAAAAACATTATTAATAACTCGGTAATAATAGTCAATAACTGCTAGAGTATTGCAATGATTCAAAAATGTGTCGAGTATTAAATTTTTAGTAAAGTAATATACTAAAAATTTAATACTCAAGGCAGACATCAAGAGATAAAAAAAAATAGATTTGTTTTGTATCCGGTTCAGAGATTATATTATATTTCAGATAGGTCATCTAAATGTTTATGATTTAATTAGAATTATTGAATTGGAATAGGAAAATTGAAGCAATTATGATGCTTAATTACTTTAAATTTTCACCTCACATTTATATAATTACGTCATGTGTATTCGTTTTTTTTTTCAAATTAATGCTTAGAATTCAATATACAGAATAAAATGCCGAAGTGCTTGATGGAACACGCGTGAAGTTTGAAGATTTCGAAATCAAACTTATTTACTGAAAGCGTTTGATGGAATGTGAAAACAACAACCTCTCTAAAGATGCCCGATACTCGATATGAAATCGTTTAACTCATGATCTATTTGATCGTTCACCATGATTTACATAATTATTTCGTTTATGTATTTATTTTTATTGCTATTATTTATTCATTACTTATTATACTTTTTTTCTAAATATATATATATATTAAATAAATTAAAGTATCTAGCAAAAAGCAAAATAGCCAGACACTCCCTTAATATACGCGGAAATGTGTTAAAGCTTGTGTACCCATTCGAAAAACTCCTATGGATCAAAGATATTTCACATAGAAGCCTTCGTATGAACTCATTAAACCTGTTAAGTATGCCAAAACATAAAACAACACTATACAGAGGATGTTTCAAATTTGTTGCAGCAAGAATATGGAACGACTTGCCCCCTCCTCTGAGAAATAAAATGAGTACGGAAAGCTTCAAAGTTAAATATAAATCAGCATAACCGCTGCAGAAAATTTGAAACATGCCTACTGGAAATACATAAGCTTAGAGATTTTTGTAACGTTTAAGAATAACCCTTAAAAACATCCCACGTATAAACTGAACAATCACAGCACAGCACAACATCTTGCATTCGAATGTGCGCAGTGTGTACTCGAATGCAAGAACTATTAATAAATAATTATGAAATTTCACAACTATATTCTTAATGCATATAAATTACGTGTCACGTTGTTTGTCCGCAATGGACTCCTAAACTACTTAACCGATTTTAAGCAAATTTGCACATCCTGTGCAGTTTGCTTCAACTTGAGAGATAGGATAGTGTTTTTGCCCATGAGTGACCCACAATTTTTTTTGCGCATTTAAGGATTTTTAATAGGACATGACAAAGGGTCGTCGAAAAGGGCAGTACAACGTCTGCCTGGCAAGCTAGTATTATGTAAATTCCAATGTTAGATGAGTGAATGATTGAATGATGTGATTGGGGAACTCGAAATTCTAACAGCTCAGGGAGGAAGGAGTACCTGAAAACCAGCGCTTCATGGGATCTCAGTTCCATGTAAGCAAAAGCTGAATCACCTCCATTTGCCTAAATTTAATTAAAGTTAAGTACTTATTTTATATGTAAACATATTTTTTAAATGTGGCAATAAAGTGATTAAAATTATTTAAGTAGATACCATATATTTTACTAAGCGTTACTTCCATCTGAAAAAGATCTGAATTAGTTAGTCTCTAGTTGTGCATCAGAAGTTTGCTTCAAAAATTTAATGAATATGTAAATAAATGAATAAAAAACATGTTTAATGTTGTTTTTATAAATATATCATTTCATTTCCCGTCAATCACTTCCGTGAGCAACAACTTTTTAAAAATAATTTTTAAAAGGCTTTTTGTCTTTTTGTTTATTTTGTTTTCGACTCAAGGGCATATTTCATTACATATATTTTTATTTTATTATTATTTTTATCAACATTAATTATTATTTATTAGTTTCTATTATATATTAAAATATATTTAAACTTACTTGAAATGCGTCATTATTTTTCGTCAAGCTTACCACTCAATAGGTTTTTTGAGATTTATATCTATGTATTTGATGAACTAAATAAAATAATATCATTATCAACAATATACCGTGTAGTGACAGCGTAACAGAATCTATATGATCGTGGAAATAGGATAGATCAAAAAGATCTAATGGCTTCCTATAAGACGGTAGTACGCTACACGTAAAATTATAATAACAATAATGTTCTCTAGACCGAATGTCGGTCACGGCCATCTCTTCGTGACAGGATCTTAGTGTACGAGTGTGTGTGTGCACACCTATGCACTCTAATTTCCCTTAATCTCATAGTTTAATGGGACGGCAATTCGACATGACCGAATAGAGACCAGGCGCATGACCAACGTGTTTGATATGACGTGGTGAATCACCGCAAGCTTCTGGACCTCGGAATGTTAATGAGAATTTCTTGACAGAAAAAACCAATTACTGATTTTGGCCCGACCCGAGATTCGAACCCAGGACTACATGATCAATGACCAGCAGTCGCACTATAAATACTTAGTAAACGTAATAGAGAAACGGCAAGATTTAAGTGAAAAATGAGATATTATTGATGTAGGAAAAAAGGTAGCGCAACAGCGCGCACGAAGCCCGAAATTGCAGAGTTACGGAGAACTAAATAAAAGATTGAAAAAGGTAGACTCCATTGACACCGATTTAAAAAGTGCTGATAGCGTGAAAATACGAAGTGAAAATGATTTTTTATTGTGTTCTTATGGTTTAAAAACGTTACAGGATCTATGGAAATAAAGGTGATGCAAAATATCCAGTTTTGAGGTGAATGCAGAAAATCAAAAACAGAATGGAAAAATAAATTTAAAATAGTGTAAAATGATATGTAAGTAGCATAACACTACAAGATTTAACTTGTGACGAACTAAAAGTACTGATTGACAAGATAAATTGATTTTGCATGCAGAAAGATTAATGTAGTTTGATTTGATCAGTCAATATTGAAAATATATAGCCAATATATAAATTCGTGGTTCTTGGAGTAAATAAAAATGATTAATAATTAAATACTTACGTTTATGATAAAAAGAAGTGCATTCAACGTTATTTTCGAGTGGGTCTTTTTTTGACGTTAATGTGTTGTGTCAGAAAACAATTTTATTCTATCATATCAATACTGCTCTAACTTATAGTTGACTTGATGGTTCAATTGATGTGGCTAATAAATCTACGTTTATCCTAGATTTTTACTATAGGATAAGGGTGACAAACGAGCACACAGTCCACCTGATGGTAAGTAGACGCTGTGGCTC